AAATCTGCATTTATGCTTCTGCGTGTGTATGTATATATGTGTGTATAGTTGCGTATAGTTTGACTGATTGAATGCCATGAACGCGATGCATGCGCGGGTGAAAATTCAAAGGACAAAAAATCAGTTAAAAAACACTCGACATTAAATGAGAACCGTACCAAAATAAAATAAAAAATTACAAAAAAGGCGTAAAATCCAAACAAGCTGCGCAACAACGCGTCGCAACGTACGCAATATTGTCGCAAAATACCGACGCAATGCAATGGTAAAGCTTTTAAATTTGTTGCATTGCTTTTACCACGCGAGCGAGAGTGAGTGTGTGTGTGCGTGTGTGCGTATTACGTTAACTTCACTTTCAAACGTGGCGGAAAATTCAATTTTCACATTTTTTCGCTTGTTGAACCTTTACGTCAGAGTGATGAGCTGGATTTCACGCACACAAATTCACTAGGAATTTCTAAAGCTATAAACAAGCCATGTTGGAAACAAGCGGCAGGATTCCCTTTTGGTTCCTTGACACGAAAATATGAATATTTATGTTTCATCTTTTCGCTAAAAAGGCTAAAAAGCAAAAACAATACAAATGGCTAGTACCTGTGAGATCATGTGGTATCATACTAACTACTCCTCAGTCCCCATTGAGGGAAAGGAGACAAATACAAACCAGCAAAAAGAAAGCGATCATTCCGTAATTAATCCAAAGGCTTTCTTAGGCTTGGTTAGTAAGCTTGATATTTAAGAATCTGTTGAGTTATATGACCCAGAAATAAAAATTAACTTTAAAATCCTGGCAGGGTCTAGGCAGGAATAGTTTCAATATAACTATTCCATCCTCGACATTGGTTTGAGTGCCAGCAGCTCACTATGCAAAAAAAATCGTTGACGCTTAGTGTTAGCACCGCTAAAGTATGTTTTACAGCTTGTTGTTGTCAGTTAAGTTGTTGGCTTACTCACTCGTACTCATACACTCACCACCATGTACACAAACATGCCAGTCCGTGGAGGCTCTTACGCCGTCCCACTCTGTACTGTTTTCTTAGTACCAGCACGTGCAACAGTGTTGTCTTCAGTAAAATGCAATCAGATTTTTAATTTGTTTTCCCTCAACTATTTACAACTGTTTTTATATTCATTTAGCTTTTTTATTCGTCTCTTGGCAAAACTGCGACGTGAGAGAGTGAGTGAATGCCAATATATTCGCTACAGCACATTGCCAGCGCAAGATAAAAGTTACTACAAATGAAACTAAAAAAATAAGCTTCATAAAACAAAAGAAGTCAAGTAACATAAAATAATAAAAGAAAAAAATCAAACAAAATAAAATAAAACGAAGTGAAATAAAATAAAATATAATAGAATAAAATGTATATAAAGTAAATTACATTACATAAAATACCTTAAAATAAAATAAAAAAATAAAATAAAATAAAATAAAATAAAATAAAATAAAATAAAATAAAATCAAATAAAACAAAATAAAATAAAATAAAATAAAAAAAATAAATAAAATAAAATAAAATAAAATAAAATAAAATAAAATAAAATAAAATAAAATAAAATAAAATAAAATAAAATAAAATAAAATATAATAAAATAAAATAAAATAAAATAAAATAAAATAGAAAAAAATAAAAATAAAATTAAATTAAAGATTAAATCAAAATGAATTAAAATAAAACAGAGTAAAGAAAAAATGGTAAATTAAATTAAATAACAAAATTAGTAAATTTAATTTCAAAGTCATATACAATTCATGCTGAGCTCAATAAATGCATTGGAAGAATATTTTTTACCGAACAATGGATTGTTTAAATAATTTTTTTTTTAGTTTAGATGCATCTATTGCTTACACCAACTGCTGCAGGTAATTATAAAAAATATAAAACCAACCTAACACACATAGCGCTGCCTTCTTCTAATTTCTGCCATCACATTGATTTATGACAACCAATATCAATGCTTAGTCGAGAATAAACAAAGTTTACCGAACCCTGTGGGCATTTTTCACGTACGCCCCTTTCAACAGCAGTTCTATGTAGGTTTAAACATCCTTTTATGGCCGCGTCCGTTGGCTGCATTATGAGCAATAAATTTGTGGGCAAGTAAGTGAATATTCCGTTAGGGGCACATACATACTCGTACATATGTTTTCTCACAGCTAATGACCGACATTTACGTATAATTTCACTTAATTTAAATGATGCCGTTGGGCGTTGTGTACAGAAAATGGCAATAAAGCAGAAAAACAACAACAACAACAACAACAACACTCTGCTTCTACGTCTAATTGCGCACGCCCATTGAGCAGGAAATGTCCAACGTCACGGATCATAAAAATCGTACTAAATACAATGCATACCAACAACAAAGATTAACTCGATGTATATATTTATGTATACCAATACATGAACGTATGTGTGTACTAATTGTGCATAATAAGGGTGTAAAAGTCGAACGACAATGGGTCATGAACATGAGCTGACCAGCGCCAGGCCAACTCTAATGCTTGAGCTCAGTTGTAATCGCTTTGCCGCTGGGCTATACTACTACCACGTGGCGGTTGAGTGTGTGACTGTGTGGCCTATCGATGTCAGTGTGCATAAAAAAACAAAAAGTGAAAAAATATAAAAATGGCAAACATTTAATTGAGCGACAACAACATTAGTGACAAGTTAGCTCGGCAGGCGCTCAGCTACGCATTGGCAGTACAGCAGAAGCGGCAACAGCAAAGTTGCTAAGGCGCTGACTATTGGGTACGACGCTATTTCCGTATGTCAGGGCCGACAGGTGGCACTGGTGTGCTGTCGGCAGGGGTTTTGAGAGCCGGGTTGCCATTGAGCGCTATTAGTGCGTGCTCAGGTGTTGTAAGTACAACAGCACTCACTAATGCGCTAATTGCTGCAACAACGTAGATTCAATTTTATTTTTACATACCATTGAGGGAGCTCTGGCCATTTTTTACCACAATCACATACATTTAATGTCAGCGTCGTGTTGTTGTCGTTATTTGCTTCCCCCCGCAGCTTTCTCATATTCTTTTACAGCTGCCGCTGCTTGTTGACATCAAACTGTCATTACTTGTTTTCACTCATCGGCCACAAAATTTATTGGCAAAATACATACATACATACATACATAACTTGTATATAGATGCAATTTTATACATAAATTTTTTTGCGGTTATACGAGGGTTGCTATTTACATATCTATTTTAGGCAAATAAAGAATAGTCCGCCACTCGTATCTTTTTTATGCTGTTTGGTTGCTCTCAACTTCACGGGAACCTTTGAATAAAATGGAGATCCAACCCAATAGTTCCCAAGACAGACGGGTGTACCGACACATCCAGCAATTACACGACTATGATAACGTCTTTAAGAATTCAACATTAAAACAAAAAATTCCAGACACATCTCTCTGTATTATGAAGAAGACTTTTGAGACGACGCTATGTCGGTGTGTCTTTGTTATTTTTCCAGGTGCTACTTAAATCGATAATCTATCCTGCGAACTCATTACTACCAATTAACTCATATTTTAACACAGGGGCAAAAATGGACCTAGTCGATTTTAGATTCGTGTAGTTTAATACGTTGCTTGATCACGGAACCATGATCCAGCGCACTTAGCCCTATTGTCTCCTTGAGATACCTATGTTGATCAAGCCACTTGGTGTATTTTATAAATTAAAAATAGTTAAAGGCGCCTACCGATGTAAGCTCTGCAGGACAATCGAAGAAGAAATTTCCGAGTAAACGAAAACGGGCCGCATTGACAGCTGAGCAGTGCCATAAGCAGTGCTCTGCGGACTCATCTTTATCTTTGTCCTTGTAGCTGCGGCAGAAGTCGTTTGAGAAGCAGCAGAAGTCAGAATATATTGCAGATGGTTGGAATAACGTATTAGAAACGAGCAACCAGGAAGCGACTTCCGTATAGCAGTAGTCAGGAAGTATTTTACTTAATTTTATTGCAAACGGTTCAGAGTTAACTCGACAACCTACTTTTGCCATATACTTAAATATCGTCGAACAAGATGTCTACGGATCTATAATCCAGATGATAAAAGGAGAAGGAGAAATCCTCCACGTAGTGTTTCTACTTTTGGAGTACCTTGTAACTGATGCGCCTCCTAATTCAGCGAAAATTGCTCTGTTTATGCAGACAGCTTTTACAAGAATTACTACCCACGCCCCGGAACCAATTTTACGGAGTTCAGACATAATTGGTAAGATATTGTTGACTATCAAGAGTGGGCGAGTGCTCGAAAGGTGGCTCAGCTGGTAAGGTCAAGTGCCCTCTACTGATCAATGGACGGGCCTCTGAGTGGACTTCAGACTCAAGCGGATGTCCTTAAGTGTTTGTATGATAAGTGATGCACAAGTACCTTAAAGTTTGAAATATATTTTGAAGCCTATTTATTATTAAGCCAGAAAAGCAGATATCAACCCTCGTATACATACAAGCGTATGTTTCAACTTAAAAATTAGTATCCATTCCCTGATAAGTGCAGATCCGTCTGTATTTCATGGCATTAACAAATTGAATACTAACACGCATCCCTCTGAGGCGGTCATGAAAATTTGCATCACCGTTATTTTAGGTGCTTTGAATGCCAGTATTGGTTTCGTAGCGACGTTCATATTTATTTCAGAAGAAACCGATTATTTTCAAGCAACAAGTTCATGTACAAAAATGTCGGAGCAACTTCCATCGAAACTCGTAAGCTGAAGATGAGATAAGGGCGAGGATGGGTTTAGGGTAGTTTCTCCTAGTTATCACGACTTTAACGTCTTATTGTTGCTCGCTGTAACGTTAATTTGGCCCAAGCAAGATAGCTTTTCTTTGCTGATATATTGGGTTCTAGATTTGTCTTTAAGGCTCATCCAATTAATATATGTAGTTTTTGTATTCACTCAATCTGATCATATACCTTTAACCATATTGAATACACTTAATCTTATTTCTACTTAATCCTCCTCCCATATTTTTATCATTTCCAGTTTACCCACGCGTCGAGGTCGGACCACAAAACCCACTCCGAGTCGAGCGGGATCACATTGCCAAGCTGGAGTGCAACGTCGATGCGAAACCCAAAGTTTCCAACGTGCGTTGGTCCCGAAATGGTCAATATGTTAGCGCGACACAAATGCACACCATCTACCGCGTAGGTCGACATCATGCGGGAAAATATACTTGCACCGCAGACAATGGACTCGGCAAGTCGGGCGAAAAGGATATAATATTGGATGTGCTCTTCCCACCGCTTGTTGTGATCGAGTCGAAAACGCATGAGGCTGAAGAAGGCGAAACCGTCTTGGTACGTTGTAATGTTACATCAAATCCGCCACCCATTACCATCGAGTGGCTCAAGGAGGGTGCGCCTGATTTCCGCTTCAACGGTGAGCTGCTCACCTTGGTCTCCGTGCGCGCTGAGCATGCCGGCAATTATATCTGCCGCGCCGTTAATCTCATGAATCCGTACAATTCGAAACGCTTAGAAGGCGTTGGAAATTCCACAGTGGCGCTGCTGGTACGTCATCGGCCCGGTCAGGCGTATATAACACCAAACAAGCCAATAGTGCATGTGGGTAATGGTGTAACACTTAGTTGCTCGGCCAGTCCACCTGGTTGGCCAGTGCCACAATATCGCTGGTTCCGCGATGTGGATGGGGAGTTCAGTAATACGCAAAAAATCTTGGCGCAGGGACCACAGTACTCCATACCCAAGGCTCATCTCGGTAGCGAGGGCAAGTATCATTGCCATGCGGTGAATGAGTTGGGTATTGGCAAGATGGCGACCATAATACTCGAGGTGCATCAGCCGCCGCAGTTTCTGGCCAAATTGCAACAACATATGACACGACGTGTTGGCGATGTGGATTACGCAGTCACTTGCAGCGCCAAGGGTAAGCCCACGCCCATCATACGTTGGATCAAAGATGGCACTGAAATATTGCCCGGCCGTAAGATGTACGATATACGCACCACACCCACCGAAGGGCAGGGTGGCGTGGTCACTGTGCAGAGTATACTGAAGTTCCGCGGCAAGGGCAGACCAAACGGCAACCAGCTGGTGCCGGGTGATCGCGGTCTGTACACGTGCCTTTACGAGAACGAAGTGAACTCGGCCAACTCGAGCATGCATTTGCGCATCGAGCACGAACCGATTGTATTGCATCAGTACAATAAAGTGGCTTACGATTTGCGCGAGACGGCCGAGGTAATGTGCAAAGTGCAAGCGTATCCGAAACCCGAATTCCAATGGCAATTCGCCAATAATCCCTCACCACTCACCATGTCCTCCGATGGCCATTACGAGATTGCCATACGCACGGATAATAATGACGTCTACACCTCGATACTCCGCATAGATCGCATCTCACACCCAGACTATGGCGATTACACATGCCGCGCTGTCAATCCACTCGATACGATACGCACGCAGATTAAGCTACAGCCCAAGGGTGCACCGGAGCGGCCCGCTGCGCTGAAGGTAATGGAAATATCCCACAACTATGTGATACTCAGTTGGATACCGGGCTTCAACGGTGGCATGTCGAGCACAAAATTCCTCGTCACTTATCGACGCGTGGCCACACCACGCGAGCAAACTCTCTCCGATTGCGCGACACACACCTACACCACCTCCATTGTGAGTAGTCTAGGCGGCAGCAGCAGCAGCAGCAGTAGTGCTAGCGCTATTGGTGGTATGAGCGGCTCCGTCGATTGGTTAGAATTTGATTGCTATCGTGATAATCCCTGTAAGGTGATGCCTTTGGATCAGTATCAAAGCTACATGTTCAGAGTGTATGCGCTCAATTCCAAAGGCAGCTCCGGCTACTCCAACGAGGCTTTAGCCACCACAAAAGTGAGTAAAATTCCACCACCACTTCACGTCACCTACGATCCGAACTCGCATGTTTTGGGCATCAATGTGGCGGCGACATGTCTGTCATTAATTGCAGTTGTCGAATCGTTGGTGAATCGCGAAACGCCAATGGCCACATGGGAAATTGTGGATACGGTTACGCTGCTGCCGTCCGGCACAGAAGCCACATTCAAAGAGGCCGTAATTAATCACATTCCGCAAACGACGCATTACAGTGCGTCGGGTCGCACATTGGGACATGCAGAGGATATAACGTTGGCGCTGGCAGAGACGGCACAGGGGCCGACGGTGCGCGTGAAATTGTGCCTGCGTACGAATCACGACCATTGTGGGCAGTATGCGAATGCAGAAAGTAAGTACACTATCGATATGTGTGTACGTGAGTGTGTGGTTGTGTATGTTGATGTGTAGTTTAAGTGCTAGTACCGCTATTTCGCCTTTGTTTTTATTTCAAGTTCTCTCATTTATTATTTATTTCTAATAATAATATCTTCTATCTCGACTCGGATGTTGTCGACCCTTCCTAAATCAAGCTTTTTGTTAGAGCTATTTCATTGGTCACTATTCTCATGTTGCTCAGCTCAGGTTATAGAGCTGAGTAGAGGACGAGCCCCGAAAAGGTCGACCGAAATGATACACTGATGACGTCATTGTAGCTCTTGTGAAGTCCACGACCGAAGACCCACGTTTGGCACAGGAAATGATTGCTAATGAATTGAATCTTGAAAATAATCTTGGCTCTATAAGTATGGTCCAAGAACCAAACAACAGTCCATGGTACATCTAAGAAATAAAAATCCGCCACAAGAGTAATGATGTCAGTTTACTTCACTCGATCTAACATCGTAGCTACTATTCCATTGTAAAAGGGCCAGACGATAACTACAAAGTGGTACACTGAAGAGTGTTTACCAAAAGTTTTCAAAAATTTGTTGGAAAACTGGAGGCAAAGGAATTTGCGGCGCTGCCTTTAGCGTCATGACAACGCACCATCCTACTGTACTGAATTGAATTGCGATCTCTGGGATCCAAGAAATACGTCCATCACCATATTCCCCAGATATAACGCCTTTTGATCCTTGTTTATGCCCAAAAAAAAAAAAAATTAAAAGGAAAGTTCTTTAATAGTAACGAGGAGATAACTAATGCGGTTTATTCTGAACTTGATATGCTGGAAAACAAAATTTTGAAAAATGCGTCAATGGATATTATGTATAGATGATAAACAGAGACAACAATTAGGAATAAATACAAACAGAACTTTTTTTTTGGGTCACCTTACCGAACTTTTGTTGATCCTTTCGTATATAAGTGATGTCAGAAGCTCAAGAAGCCAGAAGGTGGTGGACCTGAAAAATTGGCATAATATTAAGCTTAGGTACGGGCGAGGAGTGTATGACACTCCGACAGATTCTGGCAACTTAACCGAGATCTATAATCGCATTAGCCACAATACAGATTGGACCATCTGTGGCCTCGACGTAAAATCCACTAGGTGTGGAAGTTAAAGGTTAACCTTTGAAGGGAGCAAACTTTTTATTCTTACTCTTCGCTCCTTTCAAAAATATATGAACACCTGCTCACAGCAAACCTTAGAATCTCATCAAAATTGGAAAATTTGCACGCATTTCCCTGACACATTTACAGCTTTTCGTGCGCCAGAACGTGATCTCTATTATTTACATGTACTTATGCATGTGTGTGTGTGTGTGTGTTGAGTGCTTCTTTAGACTTGCTATTCATATCTGAATGTACTCGTATATACGCGTATATGTGCTCATTTGCTTATTTGCTACTTTTTCTTCTTCTTCTCTCTTACATGTGATGACACCACCACCACCATTCATCAATCCGCTACACTGACATTTTGGATGGATTTTATCTCCCACCGCACATTGTGCACCGACCAACCCACGCACCGCAGTTGGCAAATCATACATGCCCGAGACGTCAACGCTAACGACATCCGCCGTAATAGCCATAATCGTCTCATCCATCGCATTCCTACTACTCGTCGGCCTCTTATTACTCTTTTGTCACTGCCGACGGGTGGCGTCCAAGAAGAATAAGGCTAACGCCAACAGTTCACCAGCCAAAGAATACGATCTCGACTCGGGTCGTCCGTCGATTGTGGCGCAAACAAATCAGGCGCCACCACCCTATTATCCCACCGGTAGTTTGGATAGCAAATCACTAGATTCGCATGCCATGGAACTAACACTCACAGCTGTGCAGGATAGCGATGAGCAGCTGCATCAGCAACAGCTACAACAACAGCAGCAACAGCAACAGAAATCCACGGCCGCCTCTGTGGCGGGCATGACAGTGTATGGCTCGCAGAATGGTTATGGTTATCATGTCTCATCAGCGCTTGGCGGCGGTGGTGGTGGCAATGATGTGGATAGCTACCAAGTGACGCCAATAGCGCACTCGACCATCTCGGGTCGCAGCGAGTGTAAGTACCATACACACACACACACACATACACACACACATAAGCACTCATACATACATACAAGTGTACAGTGTTTGCTCGTCCACCAACCATCACCCATTGCATCATTCACTCATTTGGCGTGCGTGTACGGACAAAACTCATAAGGTTTACGCTTGCATTCATAATTGTGCTGATGGGCGCGCATTCGTTGAATGTTTTCTTTCATGTGGCGTCCGGTCGTAATCTCATTTTGGCACTTGCACCGTTGGACAGTTGGTGGTGGGCCCCGTTCGCAGAGCGTTGTGCAAAAGTAGTTAGCGGTGGAAATTTGTCCGGTTGGTCAGACAAGCTGAGCAGCAGCTGCTGGACATAGACGGCGCAATAGTCAAACTGCAATTCTCAGCTTAATGAATGAAATGAAAATTGAAATTGCTCTCTGTAGGGGGGCTCATCGTCAGACTGGAGGCGTTCGGCACTTAATTGGCAAACTGGATACTTTTCTCAACTACTTTTAGTGCGTGTGTATGCAGAAGTGTGTGTTGGATATCATTTCAGTTGCTGCTAATTTTCACATGTCCTGGACATCAAGGACATAATGATGTTTAACTTTATTGAAACAGAAATTGTGTGTCTGCAATGGCTTAATTCCTGTTAGAAATGCAATCAACTTGGAAGGACAAACTGTTTAATTGTTAGCGTCGCACTGCCATTAGCTCCATCGAATAGATGGATACATCTCGTTCGCTTCCTCTCAGCGGGTTGGCTTTACAGCCTACTCCATTCCAACGAGGTTCCCCCTCACCATTCCATCTAGTTTCTCTGGGCTCTACGTCCTTGATTAAACTATCAAATTTTGTTTTCTTTGATAGTAACCGAGTCAAAGGCAAACACTGTTTTATCCCCCACTAGCTCTTTCTACACCTGACACTTTGGACTATTGTTAAATCTAGCTCACCGTTGTTCCTGTACTGCTTGGCTACATTTGGCTAAATTTCTAACAGCTTATCGCCAGCTGGGGATTGATTTAGTTAATTTAAAGTCGAATCATATTATGGTTATATGTTTCATTGCCAGATTCTTGAAATCCATAAGGCTACATACTAATTTCTCTGAGGCTATTGCTGACAGTTTTAAGAGTCTGGAGAACATCTGGTTCTTGTCCTCATGCGCTGGTTAGGCGGCATCTCCGCTGGCGTGTTACTTTGCTGGTAGACGCTTTGTTGTTTGAGTTGGCTCTACAGCCGTTGTGTGGATCGTTCAAAGAGAGCTTTTACTTCGAAAGAGTTTTCATCCAACTCTCAGTACGTGAATCTTGCTATTGAACATACCCTCGCTATTTCCTCATGCTTAAAATATTGGGTACCACCTCGATGATTTGCATAGAAACTGCACAAGACACTACAGTAATCCACACAAGCGGAATACTATTATGCAACGTTGGGTTTACTTCCGGTTCGATTGAGAGTATTTGTTTTCTTTCATATCAGCACACCTTTGCATTTGGGTCTGGGAAATGCTACAAACCATGGAGTCGCAAAAGTTGCTATGCACATCTCTTCAGCTAATAGATACCAGTCGAGTTTGAAAAGAAAAAGATTGATATCTTTCACCCACTTTTATATCTCCTTTCTTCCATCAAAGGTAGTGACGAATCCCCACTGAATTCTTTCACCATATAGCCGAGCTTACGACAGCTCACTTTTGATAACTCTTCACTCGCCTCGTCTCATACTAAAACAAAATCGTAAGCAGTGTATTCAATGGATCTGCCTAATTTAAGCCTAGCAATAACCTTTAGACATTACGAATAATATAACTGGATGTTAGGTAAAACTTTGATCTTCTAAAGATAGGCAAAGCCCGTACTTGAAGGTATGTTCGGATTGCTCGGTAGGATAAGACATTCGCTGGGTATTTTGATGATTTTTCAGTTCCGTCAGTTATTCTTTCCAGATATATTCCACATCTCTGTTTGTATATTTTCGACCATGGTAGTCGACTATTTAGCATTGCATACTAATATTCGAGTGCCTAGCATTCGCTACATGGTTTCTTACCTAAAAAACTATTTGGCAGTTTTCAGTTTTAAATTTTATCGACAGATACAAGGATGCTTTGATTGCTTTAGGGATCATCATGTCCTTAAGTTTAAAGTTTGGATTTGTTTCTTCCTTTATGTTGAGGATAGTCGGATTTGCGGAATCCATCCAACTTTTGAAAGTCACTTTATAAATTGTTTCAACGATTCTACTTTCTTTTCGTTAATATTAAACCCTCCAGAGGGCAATACTTTTCAGATCAAATATAAAAAAAAGCCGAATTCAGGAAACCCAGTTTGCTGCCCCGGCAATGTGCCTAAATTTGTTTATCATTGCACAATCATTAACCGTGGTATTTTACATTTTGCCAAAAAAATAGTTTTTATTTGGAGAACTGGTTCAGTACTGTATGCTATTCGTCAGAATTAGGAAACTAGTGGGCTTAGTTCCCCAAGAGGATTATAGCGAATAATGAAATTTTGTACTCTAATCTTTCACTCATACACTTCTAGGTGGGCGGAGTGGTCAAATTAAATTCACTCTTGGTGAATCAGAAGTTTTCACCACCCATTAGTATGTTGTTGTTGTATATAGTCTTTCTTTGTCACAACAATAACTTAGTGGTTAGAGGTCACCACTGTGGTGCATGAGCTTCGCGATACCGCTTTCGCAGCAAGCAAATTCACTTGTGTTTTTATTATTATATTTGGTACACTAATATACAACTAGTTCAAAGCTGATGCGGAATCAGACAGTTCTCAGATCGCAGGACATCACCGTGTTGCCAGTTGCTCACAGGGAAATGTAAGACTAGTATTTTTCCCGGCAGAATATGAGATAATTACTCTATTATTCCTCTATACATACTCATAAACAATGTTCTTCAAGACATGTAGTTTGTGGTCAAGTCTTAAATTTTAATACGGCCAAGTGACCGCCATGGCTGACTGGCATAAATTACAGTCAAGCAGGCCAATACGCGTCTGCTAAGGTGTCAATCTTCTAACGTTTTTCTGACATGACCCCACCAAAATTAGTCCAGCGCTGTTAAATCGCACGATCTACGAGGCCACGGTACAGATCCAAACTCGCAAGATAATACACTCACCAAAAGTTTCCTTCTATAAATTGATTGTTGTGGCACCGTCGTGTTGAAGCCAAAAGTCGTCAAATTTGAGATCCTTCATTACTCATGGACTCATTAACTGTGACATTATGCCCGGCCTCATTTTAAAAAAAATGCGAACCAATGATTGCCCCCGGCTTTTGAATAAACCATGCGGTTTCTTTTTGAGCCTATAACGAAGTCCCAACAATAACTTCTGGATTATCATCACTTCAATTGAAAGCGAGTTTTATGGCCGCACAAAATTTTCTTATTAAAATTGGAATCAGTCGTTTTGGGTACATTCACTGATTGTTTGACGCGCTAGATGGTCGTTTGACTTCCATTATCACTCAAGTTGGATTTCGCATCTCTGCCAATCAAGATCCCTCAGTTACATGCTCTGCACCATAGCAGCAATAACATCTTTGGAGAACACTTTGAAGCGTCTCTGAGGATACGCATTATCCACTGATCAAAACGTAGTGTGAATGGTTGCTTGAATTATTGACCCTGTTGGGCGATTATGTCGACCGATAATTCGTGCGAACTCAACCATTATACTGACATTAAATTTGCTCGCTTTGCCAATTTTGCTCCGAAGTAATTCTTTTAATTATTAAATATCAAGCCAAACTGATTATGAATCAAGTAACTGCTCTCAAAAATACCAACTCCAACAAGAGTAGAGTAGAGAGAAATGTCTAGAAAAAACACCCTTTACGCCCTCCTTACCTTAACATACCACTTAATCTATTTAACAAAAGCTCTACACTCCACAAATCCAACCCGCCAAAATGGCAAATACTTTCAATTTTGAAAAGAAAAGTTGCAACTCCACTAGTACTCAGCGCTGCAGCACTCCTGTCGGCCAATTTAGTAAAAAAAAAAGCTAAAACAAAGAACTATTGAAAAAACTTTTGTTCAACAATAAAATATATTAATTTGCAACTCATTTGCCATGGCAATTAACATAACAATCACTTAAAGAGCAATAATTGTAAGACTTGAAACTAATTTTGTGCCAACAATGCGCTGAGCCCCTCCGCGCCCACCCGCTTTCGCACAGGTCACAGGCAAAACAAACACTTTCTATGCGCTACAACAACAACAAAAGCGAAGAAAGCTAACATTTGTATGAATTCGATGAGAAACTCAGAGTGGCAGTGCAGGCATTTATTGTATGTATGCAAATGTATTTGCTGTAGTGGCGGGTCGGCGGAGCGTGGCGCAGTTGATAGAGGACTATTGTTAAATAATATAATGAGTGAATGCAATCATAAATTACAATGCTTTATTTAATTGGTTGACTATAATTACGCGAATGATTTGCGAACAAAAGGGTTGATGAGGGGGAAAGTGTGCTATGTGTGTAAAATATAAAAATAACAGTAAATAATAAAAATAACAAAATAAAACAAAAAAAAAATTGTTGATGATTATTTTTTTTATATTTTATTTCATTTAAATAAATTTTCAAAATTACAAATCTAAACTATTTATATGTAAAAAGAGAGGGTAAGAGAGGTAACTGCATAAATTACATATAAATCAAAGGAGAGTGAAAATTAGAAAAAGCAAAAAACAAATCAAACAATTCCAACGACAAATATATTTGTAAAATTATAATAGACCAGCGCAAACGTTGGCAACCCTTCAAACTGGCAAACCAAGCAAATTTTCATTCATAAAAGGAAATATGAATTTGTAAAACAAGCGCCAAATGCTGCCAAACGATTGTGAGGGGTCTTCTGATAGCTACAAGCATTGGACTGTTGAACCAGGGCATTTACATGCCAAAAGAAAAATAATCAAAATGTTTGCCTTAGACACAAAAATAATGTAGCTTAGATGTGTATCATTTGGTCTAGTAA